GACCTACCAGGAGAAGCCAGATGGTGATGGGGGACCCCCCAGGAGGTCTCCAATGGTGGCAGGGAAGCCCTGGGAGACCTTCTGGGGGTCCGATCACAGTGGCACAAAAGGGTGGGAAATTTAAAATTGCTCCCCCACCGCCGCCATCGGGCCCCCCAGGAGGCCTCGGGAGACCTCCGAAGGCACCGATTGCAGTAGCCGGGGACCCCTAGGAGGTCTCCAATGGTGGCGGGAAAACCCTGGGAGACCTCCCAGGGTCCCCCACTGCCATCGGAGATGACCTGGGGGTCCCTTTTCCTAACTGTTGGGGCAAAAGAGCAGCCTCTTCACCACCAACGGTTTGAATTGAATGAAAAAAAGGCAGGGGAATTTTGAATTTCCGGCCCTTTTCCCCTGCCTTTTTTTTCGTTCGTAGATCAAGGCTCCATTCGCAAGTCTATGCAAATTTTTGCGAACAAAGCCGAAATGTTCGTTGGTAGGGATGTTCGCAAGTTGAGGTTCCACTGTATAGAAGAGCTGACTCCTATGAGGGGCTGGGTAACTTTTGTCCTGATAGATTCTAAAAGCAAGCTTGATGATTTGATAACTGTTGTTCTGATGTCAGTGGATGAACAGTTGTTGCCCAGAGTACCAAAGGTGATATTAGGAATTGTAGGAATATTGAGCTGTTTGTTATTGTCCTGCATTTTGCTCTCCCAGAATCCATATCTCTTGACTTGTAAATATTTTCCTTTTTCTCTCCATCTGTAGGATCAGACGATTCAGATGATGAGCTTTTAGGGAAGAGGGCGCTAACAGATGAGGTATGTCTGTCATGCATTTAGTAGCGATCTGGTGATCCTTTGGGGCTTGCTTCCAGTCAAGCTACAGAACTATAGGTAACAAAATTCTCTCTAGCACAAAAGGATTTATAGCCCACCAGGTTACAAAGATGACATCACAAGAGCATGCAACTGGTTCCTGCTGTTTGTGCCTGCATGTATATGTATTCAGTGGCCAAGGTATCAGGGAAGCAGAGGCTCAAATTATGGATCCATTCCTTTCCTTGTGCACAAAAGATGACATTCTTCATTATCTTCTGGTTCAGATGTCTTCTGGGAAAAATCTTCATGGTTTCATTTAACTACTGTGCAGCTTTAAGATAACTGTCTGATTGTAACCAGAATTAATTTGATAAAGCTTATGGAGCATTTGAAATTCCACAGGAAATCAAAAAGAAAAAAAATGGTGTGGTTCTGGTATGCAATCCAAGGATAAGGGGAGTGATACCATCCCCCCCTTGAAAAAAAAACAACCACAACCACAAGCCAGCTTTTGACCCTGCATGGCCCTTCACCAGACTGGTGCCATGGTGATATTTTGGTGGTCTGATAAAAGTGTCACCCACCTGTGTCTGTGGGAATGCCTCAAAATTAAGCCTGCCTGCCTGCCTACCTACCTACATATCTACCTACCTACGTGGGCCTTTGGCCTTTTAGATAAAGGAGAAATGTACCAAAACAAAGTTTGGTATAATACCTAGATTACACCAACAAAAAGGGCACAATTTTTTTTCAGTGTTTTGAGTTGCATTCATCCTCTTTCGGCCACTAGGGGGCAGTATTATTCCAAAGAAGAGTTCTCAGTTAATTGGGCTTCAGATTTTAAAAACATGTAATTATATTTAACTTAAGTGTTAGACCTATATCAAATACTTTTATATAAGAACTTTAATATAGGTACTAGAAGTGCTAAACTAATACTTTAACAAAAGTATTACTTTGCTATTTTCTGAGTGAGAGACAGCCTCTTGTAATGATGCTTGGTCTAATACATCTGTGTATCTTGAAAAAATATGTTGTTATTTTGCCCTGTTATATCCTGAAACACCATGTAGACAATAAGAACTTGAGGTCCAACTTCCCTTTCTTTTCCTTCTCCCATGGTGCCTCAGTCTGAGGAGACCCCTGACATATCCTCCATGTTGATTTCACTTCCCTCTGGTCTGAATAGGCTCGTTAGATTGACAAAGGATGGGGGAGGGATAATCCCACTTCTGCAGTCCTTCTCCACCCATTGTCATGGGTCGTTGAGGGTTGTTAATAGTGGTCTTTCTGGTGTGTGTGGTCCTGATCTTTCTGGAGATGGATGAAAGGGCAGCATGATAAATAGGAGACAGGTTATAGGTATCTAAGGCCTCCACCTCTGTTGAGTGAGGGATTTTCTATATACACATATATGATTTCCCTGACCCCTCTCTCAAACGCCTATCTTTTCAGTCCAAAGTGAGTACATCTTGGTCATCAAATGAATGCCTTTTGTCCTTCAGATGAAGGAACACTGCTGAGCCTTTGCCCCTGCTGTGCTGGGCTGTTCTCCTGTTTAGTGGCTGTTTGGTTTCTCCAATGTAGAGCTCCGAACACTCCTCTTTGCATTAGACCACATATACCTACTGTATTGCTCCCTGTTGTGTTTTGGCATCCAGTCTTTTGGGTGGACAAGTCTCTTCCTTAGTGTGTTTGTGGATTTAAAGTGCACAGGTATGTGGTGTTTACAAAAAAAAAATCATTTAGCCTATTCAGACCAAGGTGAAGTGAAACCAACATGGAGGATAGATATATCAGGGATCTCCTACCAACTCACCTCAGATTGAAGAAACTACTGTACTTGGATGAGCAGCAAAACATTTTAACCTAATAAGAAAGAAGTCCAGTTGCCATGACTCAACTTCCAGATAACCTCACCAAGATGACTGAGAATCTCCACAGATATCTTGTCAGCCCTAATCCTATTACTTCTGTGTCAGCATAAGTTAAATGGAATAAGTCATGGCAGCAAATTGTACTGCTTGAGAAACTGTTGTTGATTTTTTCATTATGTACTTTTTAACTTACCTGATGTACATATATTAAAGGGTACTAGCCAGTATTTTCAAGAAGCTTGCATATATTATGTGCCTTTTTTGCTTGGCCTAATAACCCTAGTATGGATTTTTATATAAATAGAATCATTGTCCTTTATTTTGCAGATTTTAACTAATTTAATAATGAACACTGTAATTAATATAATCATATGATTGGCTAATGTTTCTTTAGCCAGATAATTAATTTTTCTCAATATAATCCTTTACATAGTCTTCAAATGTTTGCTTTAAATGAAAAAAAGTTTTGTTTTGGAAAGCCACTTCCACACACACTTACCCATCCCAACAGACTGGAGAAGTGGAACTCGATTGGATGTGGGACTGGTTGTGTGTCACTCAAAAGTGTGTCATCGTTTGTCCTAGGAGAGAGAATATGTCCGGCAAGGCAAAGTGGCGATGGAGGTGATGGAACAGATCTTAGCCCAAGAGGAGAACTGGGTCTTTGAGAGATGCACTGTAAGTTTATGGTTCCTAAACAATTGGAAATACCAGTCTCACAGATGAGAATTTACCAAGTATTCCTAGACTATGTGCGACCCTCCTTAAGAGACAGAAAAGGAAGTGCTCTTCCAGCCCTGCAGGATGCAACTTAAGTTGAGTTTTACCTTAAAAAGAAACTAAACAAAAAGCTGGGAAACCTCAGCATGATTCCTTCAGAGTGGTTCTTTGTAGATGCTTCCCTCACAAGGCAGAAGAGAGGTACCAGCTGTAGGAAAAGGCAAAAGAATTAGCGTTCCAGGTGTGTGATTCATTCTGCCTCCCTTTTGGGTGCCATAGGAAAAAGATAACATTGAAGACTGGTTCTTTCTGGTGTTGGTGCAATCTGATTTCTGTATGAAGCATAGATCATCTGAGCAGTTTTCTTGACATTGCCTTGTATTTTTCCCCAACCCCCATGTTGAACCAGAAATTGAAGCTTTCTGGATACTGCTTTCAGGCAGGCCTTCCTAAGGGTCTCTAAATCAAGAGAAGCTTGGAAAAAGTTACATGTTTGGACTTCTGTAGTCAGTTCAGCCAGACCAAGCTGGTTTTGGGATTCTACATCCAAAACTATGTTATTTTGAGCTCTAGGATAATTATAGTCTTGAGTAGCTGCACTCAGATCTTCTTCTGCCTCATGCTTTCCACTGCTACCTCTCATGTCATCTGGAAAAACCCTCTTAAGTCCTGTCATCTACCGGTCAAATTAAGTTTGCAGGGACCTGCTGAGAGATGTCCTTGGTGCCTTCCATCTCATCTATGGAAGAGCCTATCCAGGACTCTCATGAAAGACTGGGGCTGAACATCTTCTGGAAGCATCATAAGACATTGGGTTTTTTCAACAGTAATTTGGAAGTGGGGCAGGGGGATAATTGGCCTGGGGAATTCTGGGAGTTGCAGTCTGAAAACATATCTGCACATCTCTAGTGTAGAACCATTAGGATACGCTTACATGATCTGAAAGCTTTCATAGAGTCATGGTAAAGGTAAATAAGATGCAGGTTTAAAATGGACACATAAAGCTTTGAAATGCTGCAGAGAATGTGCCTTTGCCCTTTTGACTGTGGAACTCATCCACCTTCAACACCTCTTGCACAGGAGTTTGGTGACACCATCCACTCCCTGGAAATGCCGTACTATGGCAAGGTTTTCATCCTCAAGGTAAGAGGCATGAATGGTGTCCAGCTTCCTTCTTGAGACTCTTTCTCTCTCTCCCTTCCGTGCTTTGAATGGAAAGAATAGGGAGCAGGAATTGGCAGAAAGCGCCAACTTCAGGGGCGGGAGAGTGTTTTGGAGGCCTGGAATTGAGGTTACTTTACTCAAGGCTTCCTTTTCTGGTCTGATTGTGTGTACTTCTCTTCTAGGCAGTTAGTTTGCTTGTGCCTGCTAGTTCCTTTCTCCTAACTTTGCCCATGACGGGAAGCATGGTTGAAAGCATGTTCAGTCCATTCCCTTTGGTGTTCCTTCTGCCCTTGGTGTTGAGGCTCTCTGTAATTGGCAGGAGAGTGGCTCTTTTGCAGCTCAGTGAAAATAATAGATTACTGGTGTTTATCCTTAAGCATGTTCAGTCCATTCCCTTTGGTGTTCCTTCTGCCCTTGGTGTTGAGGCTCTCTGTAATTGGCAGGAGAGTGGCTCTTTTGCAGCTCAGTGAAAATAATAGATTACTGGTGTTTATCCTTCCCACTCAAAATTCACCATCAACATTGGTTGTTTTTGTCCTGACTTATTTGTTTGTTTGTTTGTTTGTTAGATAATGCCTACTCGGGGCGGCTTACATAGATAAAAACAAGACAATATGGCATGTATAAAATCATAAAAATTACAAGACTTTGAGAACTTGGCTGCTCAGTTTTCAAATGAGGCTGAAAATTAACCTTGTTCTACCCACAATTGTCTAGGTGCATTAAGCTGCAGCTCTCATCATCCCTGTTTAGGTAGCTAGGAATTGTGGGAGTTGCAGTCCAGCCCTCCTGGAAGGGGCCAAGTTGAAGGAACACTGCTACAAATGAACCTCAGAGAGAGCTTTGGCCAAGGTGAAAAAACTTGTCTTTTGCTTGCAGGCTGTTCTCCAGTGTCCTCCTGAGATAATCTATCAGGAGATGATTCTCCAGCCAGATAAGATGGCCCTCTGGAATAAAACCTTGTTAGCATGTCAGGTAAGCATTTTGAAACTAATGCTTTTGGCAACTGCCAGTTACTAATATCTTACTCCTTAAAGTAATCTCTGGCATTTATGACCTCTGGTGACACCCTAATATTTCTCCTCCCTCCAGAGGCCAGTTCTTCCGTAGTTAGCCTATTTCTTGAATGCCTGTGGCATA